AAAAAAGTGAAAAAAAAAGGGCCCAAAAACAAAGAAAAATTTTTTTTTTAATTAAATTTTCCCTTTAAAAAAAAAAAAAAAAAAAAAAAAAAAAAAATATATATATATATATATATATATATATATATATATATAAAGTGAATTCAACACTTTTCATTTACTGCAACTCTACCATGTTGCAGTAAAGTTGACCTCATTTTCCAACTGAAAGGCTGCCTAAGAGTCCTACTTTCTGGAAAATGTAAGTGAAACTTTCTTGTTTGAAAGGTAGTGTGTTCAGTGGCTGCTTTATATAACTTTGTGAATGTGTGCCTTATATACCTCAACAAGAGACTTGGGGTGCATTCACGCCTGGTTTAATTAACCAGATTGTTTTCCTAGAAAGTTCGGTTTGTCTGCGAAGGTGTGAATTCAACACTCCAACTCAGGATGCATGCACATCTTTAATATGATCTCAAATTTCTTTGCACTGAAAAAGTGGTATAAATCCAAACTTTACTTGGAATTTTTAAAAGATTTCTGGTGCTAGTGGTATTAATTTACAGAAATCAGCAAATCTGATAGGCTAGGAGTCCAGCACCACACTGCTGCATTGAGAATTAATAGCCCCTTTATGAACCATTAAATGAATTAATTTTTCATTAATTCATTTAATGGATTAATGAAAATTGATTTTCATTAATTTGCATAGCAAGATCTCCGCTCTTGCTATGCTAGAGCAGGAGATCTAGCATAGCAATAGATCTCCTGCTCTATTGCTATGCTATGCGACACCCTTGAAACGTCTTGTTGAATGTATTATTTACTATTTGATATCGATCAGAGTTTCACAGAATTTATCACTAGAAATGCATTCTAAAATTATGCTACTCCTTCTAAAACATAAATATATTTATATAAGGCTTTATACTCATTTTTCAAGATTTTTTTCTCGTCAGCTTTGGTTCCCTCCTCAGAAAGGTACAACGAGTAATAAAAAGAAAAACATGCCAGAACTGTCTCAGACAGATAAATGGGACAATGCAAAAATAAAACGGAAAGTGCATCGGGTAAAGGTTTCTCTAAGCCCACAAGGGATTTTTGGCTCTACGTTCTTACACTTTATATTTATGCCATAATATATTTAGGCTGCATTCTGTCAAGAAATACTTATTTTAAAACTTTTGTCAGTCGTAGCAGAACAAAAGTCATTAATGTATCATTACGTCTGCATAATACAGAAATAATTTACTCTTACGCAGCCAGTGAAGTTTTAGCTTTTTATATTGTTTTATCATTTTCCTCTGCTCTGATGTCTCTCTATTCTGATGGATATTCCACTGTATTCTCTGCAGGGTCCCACTCAGTGGCATGTTCAAGTTATCATGGAGAAGCTGCTGAGGACAATAAACAGGACAGTCATCTCCATGGGCCGGGATTCTCCTCACATCGTAAGTTTTGTCAGACACCGATAGCATCAGCAGGACGGTCCCGTCTCCATGCCTTCTTTTTGTAGAAGGTTATGGATCGTCTTGAGACGCATACGTATACGCAAATATGCACCATCAGCTCTTATGTCTGCACACTGTAGACTGTGAAACTCTGTACAGCTTCAGACTGACACGGTCTACCTCTGCGGATTCCTTTCGCATTCCTTCTTCATAAAAATGACTCGCATCTTTCTGTTTGAATGTGTGTTTTGCCTGAGCTGTTTTTTTGTTTTTTTTTAAACTGTGGCTTCCTTGTCTAAGTGTCTGATCCTCTTATTAGTGCACATCTAATGTTTTCGCTCTGTAATCTAATTACTGTATCCCTCTGTTATCCCTGTGCGCGTCCTCCTTGCAGCCCCTCTCCGTCAGAGCTTCATAGTGGTTGATGCACTTATCAGTCTCTGTGTAAAGACAATGTCTGCCTTTGTAGATTCCACTTGTTCGTCAGGCCTGAAATTCAACCTCCGATATTGTTTGGGTTGCTTTTTTTTTTTTTTTTTTTTCAACCCATAGATGCTTATCTTCTCTCTTTAGGTTATAGTTTGAAAGTTAAGATTTTTATATGCCTTTTGTGTTTTTGAGATTTTGCATCCAGAAATACTTCTATGCCTGTATAAATAAAGTTACATGTAATGCTGATGATTTTAGACATCTGAGACTATCTGGAGACGGGAGGAGCTGTTAATCGTAGCTCTGGTTGAACAAACAGCCGAAGGTCAGCAACTTTTTTGGGTGTTTTGCCACACAGTCTGCTCAAGTTTGGGGAATTACTTCCTGTTTTTGGGTAAAGATGAATTAAGAAAATTGTGAAAATGATTTGGTTTTGAGAATTCCTGTCCCATTATTTATCTATCAATACACATTAAGAATCAATCCATCTATCCATGGTTAATCCATCTGTTCCTCCGTCCATCCATTTGTTCATCTATCAACCATTTATAAACTGATAGTGAGTTTTAGTTTTAATAGAGCTCCATCTCTGTGAAATGCCAAAAAAAAAAAAACCTGTGCATAATTACAATGTCAGTAGTCATCCTGTTTTGTTATATTGCTCTCCTGTTAAACGTCAGCAGCCTCATTTTTTGTCTTCTTTCCTCCGATTCATTTCCTCCCAGGATGCCCACATTTTTTTTGCAGGGTCCGTAGCTGTTCCTTCTTTCTGCCCCTCAAACTGTCTAATGGCATTCCCAGCTATGCGTCGAGCTAATTTTGTAGATTGGAAGCCCTTTGTAGGGTAACAGATTGCTTGTGTGCATCGCGCTGAATAATGTGAAGCTAATGAAGCTGTGAGTTCAGCTCAGACCGCCCTCTTGTCCATTTGTTTTTTTTTGTTTTTTTTTCCCTCGTCGGAGATTTAAGATTCCTGATTGCTCTTTCTTTGCAGTTTTCCAGCAAAGAAAGAGCGTGTCACCGCCATGTCGAAGATCGAACGCTTTCCTGGTCCTGTTTGGCTCATATTCAAAACGTTTGGAAAGTGGAATTTCGGAAAAAGGCTTTATCCTCTGCAGTTATTTTTCTTTTCAGTTGGTTTGATCATGTATTTCAGATATGGATCTCCTTCCATTTTGTCTAACAGGCTGTCAAGATGAGGGAAAGTTTCCTCTGCTGTGTTACTGCTGTATTATACTAAGTGCATCTATTTCGGGGTCCCCCCCCCCCCCACCTCCCTGCGGTGGAGGTGAAACAGTGTTGCCTGCTTCCAGGGGTTGTCGCTGAATGGCACCGTCGGAGACCGGCGTCCTCTCTTACGTTCTGTGGCCCCTAATGAAACAATCTGCTCTGTACACAAATGCTGCTGCCGCCCTCTGACTCCGTTCTTATTTCGTCCCTTCTGACGCCTGCCATTCGTCAGCTGATTTCTCGTTTTTCCGACTGGTCATTGCACCTGACTGCGTTGACATTTCTAAGTACCTGAATGGCATTTTGCATCATCGTGCGAGGAGTCCTTTTGTGCGATGCAGAGTTAGAGGTCACATCAATGTCTGTAGTTTGCATAATAAAACAGCATTGAAATTAAGGCTGTAAATCATGACCTGATGATCAATGGGATTAGCCTGAATTTTTATGAGCTCTGGGAGAGCCTTCCCATCAAAGTTGCAGTTGCTGCATTTGCATGGCGCTGCCTCGTCTGCAGGCAGTGCTGCCGCCGCTGCAGCTACTGCCTGCCGACCTTGTTCTTCTGAGTGGCAGCCTCTTACATTTAGATTTATGCATTAACTTTTTGCCCCCCCAAACCCCCCCCACCGACACCCGCTGTGGTGGACGCAGAATGTTGATGAGAGCGATCGCAGCAACGACTTTGTGGGGTGGCGCTGGTTCTGCTGCGCATTGTCACTGCAGAGCTACGCCTGTTAGCGACTTAGACACAGCACCGTCATACGTTTGATTCATTGGACATCCTAGCGGGGCCTGCCTTTTGTATTCACGTCCACCCTCGCAAGTGGCTCTGAAACGAGCCTCTTTGAATAAATTTACATGAGGATAATAGGAGAAACGTGTAGCCAGGTCCTGCTGAAATCGCCAAGTTTTACCTTTACGTTCTTGAATAACATTTTCCTTTGCTGTAGGGATGGAGTGAACCCACAAAAAAAAGCAATCTGTGTCTTCTGCCTTCCTGGCTGCTTAATAAGTAACACACTAAACCTGACCATTAGGGGGAATTGCCAGTGGTGCAATTGCTTGTCAACATCTGTTAAATTCTAATAAAACACAGTAGCGATATAAATTGAGCTTTGGATTTCACTGAATCACAGTGGGCTACAATTCAGATGGAGTTGGATATACCAGTCATCAACGGTGCATTGTACTGCACAGTTATAATCAAAACACTTCAAGACATAAAACAATGAATTTCTAATGCTGGATTTCACAAAAACACTAAAGAGTGGAGGATTTAAGTTAGCAACTTATGCATATCTCGATCAGGTGTTGCGTTGTCTTTCACGTTGTAATTAGTATCTTACATTGAATCCGTTGGACCTTCATAAGTCTGTCTGCTTGGCAGGTGTGGTGGGACTTTTGATCCTGTCAGGAAGCTAAAAAAATCAATTGCTTCAATGTTGTTTTGTAGCAAATTATCTGGAATCCTCGCTGTGTTCTTGACACAGCCCCCCCGTCCCCCCAGCAGCTGTGTCGTAAAAGAGTAGACCACCCTGAAGTACAAACAAGAATAAAAACAGAGAGAGAGATACAAACTGAAAATAATGCACTTGCATAAAAATAGAAAACAAATTGAAAAACCGACCGTGGCGTTTTGTTTCATACAGGAACAATTTCGAATTAAGTTATTTTAGTAAAGCAACATCTCGCCGTCAAGTTTATGAATTTTTATTGCAAGATTCAGGGACGTAGATTGAGACGTTGGTTGTCAAACTACCGTTTCTCTTATTTAGCAACAGCGAAGCGCACCGTGCGTACGGACCGCTGCGCTCCCGTGGAGTTCTTCTGGAGGTTTCCCTGCAGTGTGCGGAGCTGCAGGGGAAGAACCCTGTGTTATTGATTGACAGCACTGGGTGGACTGGCTATGGGAGCTGGTGCTTGTCTTCTCTGCTGCATGCTCTCTGGATAAACAGCGTTCCGCAAAAGCATCTGTTTCATTAAGCCTGGTCGGATCAGGATACTCCTCCGGTTTTCCATCTAATTTTGTTCCTCTTCGTCTTTTATGAGTTTATGTCTGTTTCTGTCCAAACATATCTGCTCACTTCTTGCGTCGTTCTGCCCGCGCGCGCTCCCTCTCCCTCCTCCTGCTCCGTCTCTCTCTCTCTCTCTCTCTCTCCTGCTGGCCAGACTGCTGCAGAGCTCACAGAAAAGAAGCATAGTGAGATATGGCGATGCATCATAATGCCTCAAACACCTTGTTATCACTCACTGGACCTCTTCTTCCCGATTCTCAACCACACGTTTGAGAAGCGTAGCCTTTCTGAGAGAACTCTGTGAAACCGGCTGACACTGTTAAGCCACTAAGGACAATGTGTAAAAGACAGTTGGATGTCATGTTTGTTCTACTGTGCTTCATACAAGCACTTAAAGGAACAGCCCCATGGTGACACTCTTACTGTGACTCAGAGGAGGAGGAGGAGGAGTGTTGCCCTCCAGTCAAACTACCTAGCGCATCTACACAAGGATCTCTCCTGCCTCACTGCGTCTCTGGGGCATTTGTTCAGAGCTTTGTCCTCTGCTTGTCTCTGGTTCTAGTTGCACTTTGTTTCTGGTCCAACCGCATTACGGTTTTGATGTCCTCAAACAGGCTCCGAGGCAGACACAAGCGCTGCACTGCTCATCCCTTCTCTTGTATTCCACTCTCGTTTCTTTGCCGCCGCGCCACATCAAAGACACAGCAGCGTTCCCAACCTAATCTTCTGCAGGTTATCGCATAGAAAATCTTTTTTTGTTGTTGTTGTTGTTGTTGTACGTATACGTACATTTGCAGACTCTTCTCTACAGATGAGATTTCACAAGGTTTGCTCCCCAAAGGCACAACATATTTTTCCTAGTTGATTTTCAGCAGCTTTTCAGCCTGCAGATGGCTTGGCTCGGATTTCGGCTCAAAATATTTAACAAATTTGATACAAAATTAGTTGAATGAAAATGTGCTTTGTCCCATTCTGTTTCGATAGTTTGAGCTGCAATTTGCTCAAACTGGCGCAATGTGTGATTGATACTGTTGGACAGCATTTTATCACCCAGACATTTTAATTTGTGTTTGCATGCTTTAGTAATGAAACAGTCTTCTTCGTTTTTCGAGAGCTGTGTAGATGTCTTGTTTTTATTTATTTATTTTTTTCCATTTTTAGAATAATAAATAGCTTTATTTTAAGTCTCTTTTTTTCTTTAAAAACAGTATAAAATACAGTATTGCACATAGTAAATCAATTGCACTTCTGTAAGGTACAGATAAACATCTAGTTCTTTCTAAATGCTACAATAGAACTACTGAAAGAAACCAACCTGGCATTTACAAAAGTGAATCGCACGTAACCAACAGAATGCAGCATGTTTAAGCTCGTGAAGTTTGAACCAGTCATGTCTTGTTTGGCAGATGGTCGTGTTTTCCCCCTGACACAATTTGGACACGTTTCCTCTTCTTTGGGGCAGTGCTTTTGCCTTTCAACGTGACTTTGGTGAAACTGGTAACTGTATTCTGTTTGCTTTCAAATACCGACTTCCTAACAGTGTTAGCCTTGTTTGGTGCTAAACCACATATTTGTACAAACAGGCATGGGCCGGCATTGGATTCTCTTGAGTGAAAAGAACTATCACTATCACTGTTGTTGGCCTCTAAATACTTTAGCAGAATGATCCTTTACGCACCTTTTGTGTTTCAAATCAGATAAAAGTTTTGGATATCTTTTTTTTTTTTTTGATGCATCAATGTTTTGCCATGTTTTGAAGATGTACTTTTCAATTTCGTTTCATATACTGGAAAGTGGCCCATGCCTATATGTAATATAATAAATGCTTGTGGTGTTTTAAATGAACCCTATGTAGAATACCTACACGAGTTGCCTTTCAAATAGATTCCAGACATTTAAGATGGGGGAGGGGGTGGAAACTAAAAGAGGCTTTTGCAGTTCTTAAAAAGTGTTTCGTGAAAAATTTAGAAAATAGCCTGTGAAGTCCAAGGCTTGTAAAAAGCATGCAGGGCCTTGTGCCTGCCACCCTGCATTGTAGGAGCCCTAGTTGTGATCAGAAGTGGAACATTCAGTCTTGTAGGATCGGCGTCACTGGCTGGAGCTGATATGAGACACTAAAGTCATACAATCACTGCGATTTTTCTCTTATCCCTCACATGTGCTAAAAGCAACTTTATTTCCTTTTTTTATGTGTGTGGCATATATATATATATATATATATATATATATATATATATATATATATATATATATATATATATATATACAACACACACATAAAACCCAAAAGTTACATACTCTCATTGCCGTTTTTGTCATATTAATTTTGGATTTTCAGTGGGGGGTTTTTAAACTGTTTTTACAAAGTGCAATGGTTATGTTTCAAAAAAGTTAAGAATTGGCTGCACAAGGTTGAATTAATTGTGGATTCTGAAAGAGTCAAATTTATACATACTGTTAACATAATGTTACGTTATATATTTTGAAAGAAAATTGTTGGGGTGGAAAGGAGAGCGAGAATATGACTAGAGGAAGCAGAGCTGCTCCGTAAACTGTTTTGACCCTCTTCAAAATAAGAGCATGGATGTAACATCTAACTATTTAAAGTATTCTCAACAAGTTGATAACTAAAACCTCAATAAAGATCTTGAAATTTATTCAACTGAAAGGTTAGAAAACAACCAAGTAAATCTGTAGTTTAGAATTTATCTGGAAAAAAATCATTTAAGGGAAGCCAAGTGTGCTAAACAGTTCTCAAAAGCACTAAAAAAAAACAAAAAAAAAAAAAGGTCCACAGTAAATTTAAACGTGTGCACCAAGTTAATACTTTCATTAATTATTGGACCACCATTGCACCTTGAATCCAGAAGTTTGAACTTCTGGATTCAACACAAAATATTTGACGTTCAAGCAAATGACGACGATACAAATTAATGATCTACAGTGTATTCTTGCGATGTTTTGGTGGTTCCAGTGACTCAGTGCACCATGGGTTCACTGAAAACTATATTTGATGGATTAAAAAGAAAGTACACACTTCTTTTGAAATGTAGTTGAACTACACAGCCCACCTTTTGCCTTAGTTCAAATAAATATAATTATTTTCATCTTAAAGTGGATCTATATACTTAGATATATATTTATATAGAAAAAAGTAGAGTGACATTTATTTTCCAATGTTATTAAGAAAATAAGTGGTATTTATTCATTATTTTCTCCAAAGTAATATGTTCTTTTGACACATTTTTCCATGAAAAGAAGGTTTTATCACAGAAGTCCAAACAAACGTCTCCAGCGTATTCCCCTTTAGGTCTTTTGCTAATGAAAATACTTGGTCCGTCATATATTGTTGGTACAAGACGGTCAAAAATGATTCTCTCCCGTTACTGCTGGAGATACAGAATCCTGAAAAGTATTAATTGTGCTTTGCAGTACAATGATATGCTGTTTATGTAGGCCTTGGTGCTTCAGCATTGAGTGATCAGCCTCTCCTGGAGACTCGGAGGGAAGAGAAAATCCCAACAGCCGAATAGAAATATGGCGGACATCTCTCCGTCAACATGAAACGGGGACAGGTCTACATCAGTTATAAAAAATAGAAGCCAGGAAACAGCGGCAAGTAAGCTCGTAAGCTCGTCTCCTCGATCTTTGAGTACGTTTCCCTGTTGTTGTTTCGGGACATTAGGCAAAGTTATGACTTATTCCATTTTTGTAGGGCGTGACCGTGTTCATTGTCCATGCAGTCCACGCTTCTATCACTTCTCCTGCCATCTAGGTATATCCAGAGCTCTTCATTAAAAAGTGCCCAGCAGGTCTATAAAATCCTTCAGGTTGTAAAAACCAAAGAATGGTGAAGAAATTCAGATCCTTGCTTAAATCCTTTGTCAGTTTTTAGGGATCGGAGACGGCCGTGCAGCTCTCACAGGAACCACAGTTTCCAGCGGGCGTGCTTCTTGGACTCAGCTTTGGACTTGCGTTTTGGGGTGGAGGTGAAGGCCTCCTGGGGGTAAGGCAGGGGAGGGAAGTGGGAGTCCGTTGGAGGGCAAAGCCTTTTCATCAGTGGCTGTAGCTTGTCCTCCTGCAGCTTGAAGTCCAGTTCCACGCTAAAGGAACAGAAAAAGAGACAAAAAATAATAATAATAATAAGTGCAAACCATAGCATGCATGATTTTATCTCATATAAAACCAACCCTAATGTCGTTTTTGAGTCTTGGGTTGTATTTAAGTAACTTCTTCACTGCAACAAATTAACATAATTGCTCTGAGTAATTAAATCAACAACCGATCACCCGAGCAGATTTATTAGAAATATCACAGGTGCAGCTCATTAAATCGGGAATATCATGGAAAGTTAATTTATTTCAGCACTTCAATTCAGAAATAGAAACTCATATATATTAAATAGACTCTTGACACCTCAAGTAATGAATTTTAAGCATTGATTTTGGTGATTATGGCTTCCAGCTAATGAAACCCCTAAATTGAGTTTTTCTTATTTTAGTATATAAGTTAGTATATTATATTACATAAGAGAAAAAAAAAACAGAATTTTTTTTTTATTGCCTCCTTTATTGCCTACACAGAAGTGGGGGATGCTGACCTGACAGTTGTCCAGCAAATTTTCACTGCTGCTCTCCACAAAGAGGATAAGCCCAATGCTCTTTCCCCAAAAACGATGGCTGTTGGCAGGGGGTTTTGTGCAAACATATCAATGGAAAGTTAAGATGAGGGAAAAACTGTGGATAAAAAAAAAAGAAAAGGTGCTCAAACCACACTGACAACTGCAAACTTTAGAGGTGTGTAAAGCACACTCTTTAAGCAGCCCAAAGTGATTGGCATGACATGGACTGCTTTTTGGGGTTTTCTTTAACTGTCAGCCATAATCTTAATAATTCCTGACAACACCTTAAATATATCACTCTTTATGTAATAAGTCTGAATAGTATACAAGTCTTATTTTATATGAAGTTAAATGTACTTGTTGATGATTGAAATCAGATACTCTTGTAAATGTTACGTAATGACATACATGCTAATATTTTAGTGCCGATGACTCATCCTAGAAGACTTAAAGATTTATTTTTATTTTGATCCATATTTGCTCCTCTAAATAGGGAGGCAGTTTCCCATTGCTGCAGTTGTTGCACGTACTAATGCATTTTTGGCTGCCATATTGCTCTTACATCCATATGAAGCATTTCCAGTGCAACCTTTTCTCGCTTGACCTCTGCAGCTCATCTGTCACACCAGCGCTTAGCCTGGAAAAATGCCCTGGGTTTTTCATTTGCTTTGTTGTTATAAAATAGCAGAGGAACCAAATGCGTCTACTTTTGATTGCACCATTCAGGGTTACGTCTACTGCTGTCTCAGATTGGTGGAGCAAGAAGCGTGTTTCGTCAGTATCTGTCAGTATCAAGCAGTTGGTCACAGGGCAGAACGCTGAAATGCAAATGATTTGTTTTGCTGAATTCTGTGGATGCTGTTGTGTCTCCTCAAAAAAATATTTCGAAAGATGATGGAAAATGTTAGCGATTTAATATGTTGGGATTTGCTGGGCGCGAAGCGCAGAGCTGTGTCCTTCTTAGCAGTCCGTCACATTCCCCCCCCCCCAAAAGCCCTGGGGAATTTATCTGGAGCCATCATTGTAATCCGACGCCCACACACATCTGACCACTAGGTTCTGCTAAGTAAAACTCAGATTACAGCCACAGCTGTGGCAAAGTGTGGGGGCTTTAATCTGCTAAAGCTATCTCCAGTCACTACCTGAGTCGGGCTTACTGGGGGGGGTGACAGACTGAGTTACGTAACAGCTGCAGGGTGACTGCTCTGGTTTTTATTTAAATGCAGTGCATCCATTATCATTTTCAGTAAAAAGTTTTCATAATCAACATTGATGCATCTGCTATTGATTAGAGCAGGCATAAATGTGGGCGTCTGACAATGAGCAGATTGAATGTTAATTTCTTGAGTTTGCACTCAGCACTTTGCTTTTGTTTGACTCAGGCCAGCTTCAATCAATAAATCACTGGCTGGTAATTACATTGGTGTAAATTCACATTTGCGTATTTGTCCATCCACATTTGAAAGCATGTGAACAGTTGGTACACACACACACACACACACAAAAAAAAATCGACCAGTATAGTCTTGACATAAAAAAAAGTGGAATGTTAGTCTCTCCCTAACCTAAACAATCTAGTTCTTTACATCAGATGAGCAGCTTGTCATTTTTTGCTGCAGATTTTTCAGGGTTATAATAATTATCTAAATCTTCTAAACTTTTATGCAAACTTCACTTAGAGAACTTAAGTATTGAAACATTTGGGTTGGTAATTTATAGAAAAGGAAATGATTGAATGTGCAAGATGGCATACAGACTTTTCAGTCCATTGTTTTATTATTTAAACCATTGAATGAACTCTGGTGGAGCACCATCCGGAATATTAAATACGATACAAAGGCCACAAATAAAACTAGCTCTTGCTGTTTAAAAAGAACCATCAAAAATTCAATCAATGAGTCTCTTCCCCAAATGTAAAAGTGAGCTATTGATGAAGCAATAGAATGAGAATTTCATTTAGCCTTTTAAATCTCTTCAAAAACTCTGTTAATGCTATTTAAAAGCACAAAGAAGCTGATCTCATTACCAATTTTTGGGGGAGTAAAGTAGTTTTATTGCTGTGCCATGTTGTGTGGGATGCACACACACACACACACACACACACACACACACACACACACATATCACAAAGACAGATGAACAAACAGGTAAGAGATTTACCCAAGTTGGTAAAGGAATTTCCCTGCTCTACCATGTAGGCATCAAATACGTATCGGATGAGTGCCACAGTTCAAACGTACACAGTGTTAAAAGATTTTGGGTGGATATGCAAACACCAGACTGAAGCGACCTGATTTCACTTACAAAGAGTCAACATTCACTACAAATATGAACATATGATCAAGGTCTTGTTCTTACTGGAGACTTTTTGAAGGACCAAATGGTCTTGCATAAAAAGATTGTGTCACAGTGATATGTGTGCCTCAGAGAATGGTCTGACAGCACCAGTTATTACATACAGAGACGGAAATAATGATGCTGGGGTTTATTTGCATTTCATAAAATCTGTCACATGTCTGCATGCAGCAAAAAGTCCCTTGAAGAATAGTCCTGGTGGGATGTTTTTTTTTTTTTTTTTTTAGGAAGAATTTCTTAAAAGGTATTTGGGGGCTCTTCCCAACCAT